ATTTCCTATGCTAGGTTTCACTACATATATCTTGCATGATCTACTTATTTATTTGAGACCACTTGTCTAGCCATAACCAAGCTCTTTCTGAATCAACTACTAACTACTCGTCAGTCCATGCTCATATTTGTATTCTGTGTATCCTCTCTTGGGTTATGTCTTTTGTCTTAACTTACCTTTTGCACTTGCTCCTAATGTATCCAATGTTCATTCACACATATTTATCAATAACGTCTAGTGTGGGAACCCTTACTGCATCTCCCAATATCGTGCTTGAATAATGTTCTGGAGTCGTAACATATCTATAGGATCTGAATAAATGCAATCTCATTCCTTTTGCCTTTTTACCACATTCTTTCTTTACTATTCCATAGTTACTTGAACTACATATTCTGACTTACTACCATATCACACCGTCTTCCCCCCTTTAGGGGAGTACTAGCATTTAATGTTATGAAGACTTACCTATATATGTTTTACCTCATCATCTTTGGCGTCATTTCACGTCTTCGCTGACTCTTACTCACCTTTCGGTAACCCTTCTTTATCAGGGATAACTGAATTCCTTATGCATGAGTGTGACACCTAGTGTAACTGGCACACTTCGTCCCTTCAGCGTAACTTTGCTCAATGTTTTTGCTTTGGCGGAGTGTCTTCCTGAATGACCTTTAAAAGTTATTCTTATGTTGTCAATTTTATTATTGCTAGAATGCGATCTTTGAAATTCTCTTGTTGTCGACTATTATGACATCATTCGATCCATAATTGATGTTCAGTTTATCTTGTTTACTAGCCCATACTGATTTCTCTTCCTCCGGGGGTCTAAATTTTGTTCTAGTAATCACGTTAGACTCACATACTCTTTTCACGAAATGAGGATATGACTTTTGGCCTATACTCTTTTATTGTCTCAAGGCCTGTCACCTTTTGTCTTTTCCTTCAGTTGACTATAGACTCTGTCATCATATCATATTGTGATTTACCGTTACTGCTCTTTTTATCACATCTTACTCGTAATACTTCATTTACTCTCTTCTTATTCTCCTGCTAATATCCCTGTTCATTACCTTATTCTGAAAACTCCAACAAAACATTTTTTTAGTTTTAGCTCCCCTTGCTCTATCCACCGCTCTTCGGGTCGCCTAGCATTCTGTCTTTACTAGGGACGGGAGCCATACGAAGGTAAATATTTATCCCTTCTAGGATTCCACTGCCTATCTTCTGAAATTTTTTCGGACATTCTAGTATTCATGTCTAACTGTTCTATTCTAGAGTGCACCACCTGGGTGTCTCACAAGGAGATCTATTACCACGTTTGCACTATCCTTCAAAAATTTTATCTAATGATCACAATCCATCCACCATTTTGGGTTACTCTAGCCCCAGCTGGATCCTGATTGCCCCATCTTTCTCTTAAACACTAAATGTTAGCTCCCACAGGCCATAGCTAAGATGGGTGTGGCCAATTGTACATTCTTCTGTTACTATTGATGGTAACTCAAATACTTATATTTTTCTGCTTGAATTTTAAAAACTAATAATCTTCACTAACTGGGTACCTCGCACCCTTCTCCACCTTGCTTCTATTATCCGTTGAAACTTATACTTTTACCTTCTAATACTCCCATGGCCTGCTATTAGCGGGGTTTACTAGATATTCCGATCTTAAGGTCTTAAGTAGGAAATTCGCACATCCGATATGCACGATCTGATAGGGCCTCAAATTGGGCCACATTATCAAGAATTCTCTCTCTACAAGTGCCCTAACCTGCTGCTGTAGTTGCCCTCTGGCTAGCTATAATTTTTCAAATTGCAAGCATCTCTATAATTAACAAACATGAGTCTTGGCTCGAACTCTTATGACTCAGGTCTATAGCATGATGTGGATTTGAAAGAAGGGTAACATACCCCTAAATGCCTTGTAGATTCTTATTTATATAATGTGGTGCACAACACATCTATAAACAAGATTATACTAGACACGACTTGTAGACTTCCTAGGACATAACTGCTCTGATACCAAGTTTGTCACGCCCCAAACCTATATATATAAAATGGGTTCCAAGGTTTGGATCTGGTAACTCCGAGGAAATGGAGCTTAACAACCAAGCTAATGTTTGACTCTGTCTGCTGGGAGGGTCTGCCCAACTATCAATGAGGACCTGCAGGCATGAAATGCAACGTCCCCGGCAGAAAGGACGTCAGTACGAAATAATGTACCGAGCATGTAAGGCAACAAAATAACTGAAAGTTGAAAGTAAACTAATAAGATAATAACTGAAAGTAACTAGGAGTCAAAGATAATTTGAATATATGCTTACTTGCTGATACTGACTCAACTCTATCAATATAGTAAGTAAAATGGTTGTCCGACCTTAGAAGGCTCGGTATATGTAATATCTGCCGTAGTAGGCTCACTCATAGGCGCTCGGACATACTAGGCACTGTATTTCGGCCATTATGGGCTCTCTCATAGGCTCTCCGCCATAGTAGACTAGGTATATAACTCACCATCTGATTAGAGGTTTCCCAATAGGGGCCTGCCCATCGATTATAGCTCGATGGTGGTCAAAATACTGTAATACTGTATATATATAGAATCTCTGCTCTCTTGGCTGACAGAAGACAAAACTAAACTAAATGCGAAGTCTCGACAAGGGAGAATGTTGTAACTTATGAAACTAGAAAAATGTACGAAAATTCAGGAATATGAAATTCTCTTTATGTCTCGTTATCAAACACATGTAGTTACTGGATCATGCCAAAATAAAAGAAAGGTTTAGCCTTAACATACCTTAACTCTGTTAAGTCCTTAATACCTTCCAAGCAATTCTTCAAACTTTTTTTTGAGTTAAAATTATATTCTATTAATACTCAAAAAATGTTACAATTTGGTTCCTAGTAGCAGCTTTGACTCGCTACTACCCCTTTACATCACTTTACTATGACATGGAAATCAGTGTGTCTAACTAACTATAACTACCAATACAGACACTAGTATCTCATCTATATCTTTCTATTTCTATCTATACAATTGTTCTTCATGGAATCCAATCCAGTTTCTGCAGCAGCTCTCTCCATTTCCAGTTATGCTCCCCTCGAATATGTATATGCAGAACTATTTCCTTGTAGATTTGATGTTCAGCGTATTTGCCATCCCCAAATCTGCCTCTGTTCCTTTCTCTTCATATCATTGCAACTGTCGTGGAAAAAACACAACATGTGATGCTATTAATACCTGCCCTGCTTTTTGCCTTCTTGGTGATCCATTTCAATTCACATTCCCAGTCTCCTATATTTCTTTTATGTCCCAGCCACATGGACAGATTAGACCACAATATCTTTGTTATTGGACACTCAAAAAATAGATGGTTGAATGTCTCTATACTGTGCTTACAGAAAACACAGTCTGTTCGCACAGTAATACCAATTTTCAGCAATCTATCCACTGTGGCTAGCCTCTTCTGCATTGCAAGCCACAGGATGAATCTGTACCTCAGATGTACACTTGTATGCATCATTAAGCCCTTCCATTCTACTTTGCAATACTCTGGGATCAGCTTCAAGTACATCTGCTTGATTTGAAACTTCCCATTCTTGCATAGACTCTTTAGCCTTTCATGCATGGTCCCTTGGAGTTGCTGATGCTTCATAACCACTTCCCTGCTATCCATTATCTTCCTTATTACCCAGGCTGCTGCCTTAGGAGTAGGCATTGTGTCCAGATCCTTCTTCTTTATATAGAAACTATGACCTTCGAATCTATAGGCAGTCCTTATTTCTAGTTAGATCCCATAAGTGCTTAGTAACTGCTGCTTTGTTCCATACTTTGATATCCAGTATGATTATGCCTCCAGCTGCCACTGGTTTGCATATATTCTCCCAAGCTACTAGTGCCTTCTTTGAGATAGCTACACTGCCTGTCCATAAAAATGTCCTGCAAATAGTTTCAATCAATTTCAGCACCTTTTTTGGGATAATGAACACCTGAGCCCAGTAAGTCTGTAAACCAAAAATGACTGCCTTTATCAATTGACACCTTCCTGCATAGGATGCTTTGCTGACCAACAGGTAACCTTTGTTGTTATCTTCTCAACTAGAGGAAAGTACTGATCAATAGTTAGTTTTTTTGAGTCTAACAGAATGCCCAAGTATCTAAAGGCAGTTTTCCTTCACTAAAACCCAATGTTTGTAGTATTTCTTCTCTAGCCTTCTGATCTATCCCAGCCATGCATATAGCACTCTTACTTGCATTTTCCTGTAATCCAGAAGCCTGTGAAAACCTAAAGAAAGCATTGTTTAGAATCCTTATGGACTCCATATCAGCTCGACAGTACATTAGCAAATCATCAGCAAAGCACACATGTGTGCTGTTCAGCTTTCTACACTTTGGATGGAAGTTAAAATCCCTATTTTTATGCAAGTGTTTTAGTTCTCTACTCAGATACTCCATGGCAATAACAAATAAGTAAGGAGACATAGGATCTCCTTGTCTAATCCCTCTCTTCCCCTTAAAAGGTTTAGTCAATCCTCCATTTAGCACCAATGAATATGACATAGTAGTAACACAAGTCATTATTCATTGTACCAATTCGAAAGGGAATCCAAGGTCTATCAGCATTTGCTTGAGAAAACTCCATTCCAGAGTGTCATAAGCTTTCCTTAGATCCACTTTCAGCACACATCTGGGAGAGACTCCTTTCCTAGCATATCCTTTAAATAGCTCATGGCTTAGCAAACTATTGTCCACTATACCCCTTCCTTCAATAAAAGCTGATTTGACTGGTCAATCAGTCCATCAAGCACACCTTTTATCCTCCTTGTGATGACTTTTGAAATGATCTTGTACAATGTAGTGCAACAAGTAATTGGCCTATAGTCTTTGACTGTTGCTGGTGATTTCACTTTAGGGACCAATGTAATAGCTGTTGTATTTACCATACTAGGTAATCTGTTTGTACTGAAAAAATCCTTAGCAGCTTCAATGATATCCTTCTTCACTATCTCCCAGTTCCTTGTAAAGAACTCCACAGAAAATCTATCAACCCCTGTGCTTTGTCTTTAGGCATATCCTCAACTGCTTCAGTGATCTCCTCCATTGTCACCATTTGAATCAATGTTCTTTGCTGATCCACAGTTAAGCATGGTCCTTCCTTTATTACAATTGTATTTGCACGAGGTAATTCACCAGCACACTCTCCCATTAAGGATTGAAATACAGTTATGAATTCCTTTTCAACAAGTCTGGCTTCTGTTAGCTTCACACCTGTATCTGTATAAATGGTAGTTATACTGTTTTGGCTGGCTCTTATCTTCCATTGTGCATGAAAATATTTTGTATTTGCATCACCACACTCAATCCAGCATGCCTTTGATTTTTGCGTCAGAACTTGCTCCTCCACAGTGCTCCATTTTTCTTTTTCACCTAACACTTCTTTCTCTTCATTTATAAGGGACTGTGCCAAAGTATTCTGCCTCATTTGACTTTGCATAATATCTAATTTCTCTCTTGCCTGCTCAAGTTTTTGCTTGTATGAAGCCATATAAGCATTTATCCCCTTAAGTTGCTTTTTTAGATTCTTCAATTTGCACCAAATCTGCTGCATAGGTGCTCCTTCATGCTCCTCATCCCATACCTGCTGAATTACAGTCTGAAACTGTGGATGGTCCATAACATTTGTGTATAGTCTAAATGGTTTAGGATGTAGTAATTTCTGGCTGCCACATTTTATAAGAATAGGAGAATGATCAGATACTGATGGATTCATATAATCTACTTCCACCTGCCCATACTGCTGAATCCATTAATAATTTCCTAGTGGCCAATCTATCTTGCTATACACTCTATTCCCAGTTCCTTGTTTATTTGTCCAAGTATAATGCCACCCCTTATCCCTCAGTGGGGTGAGTTGCAAATCATCACTCATCCCTTTAAATCCCTGTACTTCAGCAACAGTTACAGGAGATCTTATTCTATCTTCAGAGGATAGAACATTATTAAAGTCACTGCTCAGCAACCATGTCTGCTGACTTGCAATTTTAATCTGCCTGAGGTCCCTCCATAAACTCTCCCTCTTGTGTCCATCATTTTGAGCATAAATGACACTAAGCTGGGCCAAAAAATAAGTTCTATGATCTTTAATACTACAGTGGATGAATTGATCAGTCATGTGACTCACTATCACTTGAACAGGACTTCTCCAAAGTAACCAGATTCCCCCATTTACAGCATATGAGTAATTACAACACCCATTCCATCCTGTAGCTATATTTTTTTGGATTTTCTTTGCTTTATGCTCCTTTACTCTAGTTTCTATGCATCCCATAATATCTACTTTATTAGTAGCAAAAAGAGTTTTGACCTCTTTTTGCTTATGGGCTTGATTTAGCCCCCTAATATTCCAAGTAACAATGATTATTTGAATATTAGAGGGTCTGGTGGTCCTGGATCAATTTGTTGACCACTACTACGTTCATCTTTATTCACATTTACACTTTTGCTCTTTCCAGTCTATTTTCCCATCTCTGCATCTTTACAGACAGTCCCATGTATATCATTTCCTTTTGACGCATAAGCAATCTGTTGTGCATTTTCCTTACTATCATTTACGTTTTCTACACAGCCTCTCTCTTGTATTTCTTCCTGTACTGTCATTTCACCTTTCTTCGGATCTGCACTCACTTGAGGTTGTTTGACCAGCCAGGCTTGCTTCACATTCTTCTCCTGCTTCTTTCCTCTTTTCCTCTGCCTTTCCTGCCTATCACCTTCCTTTATCTCCTGTTCATCATCACATTTTGTGTTATACCAGCAGTCGATAGAATCATGCCCAAACATTAAGCAATCATTACAAAAGTTAGGCATCCAGTCATATTCAATCACTTATATCTTTGGGCCATAATGCGATTTTATCTCTATTTGATCTGGTAAGGGATAAGCAGTATCCACCTCCACAAGGATTCTAGCATAGGATATCTTCTCATAGTGAGCAGTGAATTTATCAGTGTATAATGGTTTGCCATTTTGCTAAGAGCATTAGTCAACCAAAATCCCACTGGCAGGAACCTTACCCATACTGGAAATGTACTGAGAATATCTCTGTTGAGTGAAAAATCAATTTCCCATAGTCTCAGTACCATAGGATTGTTTCTATGTGTAGGGTCCTGATTGGAGGACTTGATCTCTATCAGCTATGGTACTAAATCTAAAAATACAATATCCCTCAGCATGCAACAGGATCTGAGGTTTTGTAACAAAATTCCAAACATTCATCACAAAATTTTCCATAGCTTTCTCATACGGATTTTCTCTAATTATATAGCAAATTAACGCAGTTTTCCAGTAATCCTCCTGGGATTGTAAATCTTTCTTACACAATTTAACGATTTTCTTACTATCTCTATCAATTGGAGGTACAAATGATAGTGTTTTTCCCATTTGTGAGCTGCGATTTCCTCGAACGATATCAGCTGCCATAGGCGTTGGCTTCTTCGATCCACTAGTGAGAACTGTAAACATCTCGTTGTTGATTTCATCACTTCTTCCATTTTTAACGGTTGAAGTTGAATCTCACCTTCAGAGCTACTCGTTTCATGACCTTCCTCGATCGATTGATATTTCTGTGGGAGAAAACTACCAAAAGTTAGGGGAGGTAATTCCATTTGAACGCCATTTTCTGGAGTAATTGTCTTCTCTGTCTGTGTAACAGTGCCATGCAAGGTTTTTCGACGACGAACCATTAATTCCGGTGACAATTGCAAACTTTGCTATTGTGCTCCGAGAGAAACGGTTATCTTCAAACAACTCAACTCAATCTACCACAGGATAAGGAGATTCAAAATCAGTTTTGAGTAAAGGCTAAGTTCGCAACTTAAACTAGTAGCTCGTTTACGTAAATTTGGGCAGCATCTCCCCTGTAACAAGGCCCTCCTCTAATACCATATACCAACAACATCAAGAACAAAACAATAACAATATGTATGCATTATTTTCCAACGTTATCTCCATCACAATATATCACAAAACAGCCCACACACCCTAATCACTTCATACATAAAACGATAATAAAAGTAGTGTCAAACAACCTAAAAATGTAACAACGAATGACCAGCCCACCATTCCGTAGTTATGTGGTGTTTCTCCAAACCTTTTATCCTCCAAAACTCCATAAAACATAAGCAAAATAGACAGCCCAAAAGCAACACGAAACAGCCCCCAAATTAGTCCACTACAAGTCGAATAACTCGAACCCACGACTTCCGATCACCGTCCCGTGAGTTCTAACTATTAGGAAACGAGTTTATCATCCTTCCTTGATATTTAAAGCTTAAATACAGAAAGTAGACGTTTTCTTAACTATGAATTACCTTCCAAAACTCAAACTCCAAAGAAAAACATAGGTGATATAGCGATACTTACGTCGTATAGATCGTTCTAGTGTTATAGCTTCTTGATTTCGTACCCGGGTTGTTAATATTATTGGAAACCCTTGTGGAGAACTTGAGGATAAGTTTAGGGGTCTTATTCTGGTCGTGGTATGTGGAAAGGTGAAGATAGAGACGACATAAGGCCTACATATATCCATTTTTCAAAAGTCAAAGAGGTGCTAGCTTGGCACCCTATTATTTGCTCTTCTTCAGACTCTTATATCTTTTTATCCGGATGTCGTATGAACAAACTATTAAGAGAGTTCGAAACTAAAATCCAAGACCTTTAATTTGGTATATAATATGTCCGAAAAAAGACATCATATAACACACGAAATATATTTCTCAAAAGCTTTAGTGACACAGCTACTTGTCACCTATGCAGTCTGCGCAGTCTAGCGAAACTGCAAATGTCTCTCTACTCACATGTCGTATCGATGAACGGTTTAATTTGATAGAAAATAGAGTCGTAGATATTCAATTTGGTAGGTAGTTGGGAGAAAAGCTTAACTATATTTGACCTAAATTTCAACATATTTATGAATGTAACTTGTGATGATCTTTGCCAACTTTTGTTGCACAACTCACTTGAATTTCAAACATAGCACACGACTATCATAAGTCAAAAATAACTCATAACATAACCTCCTTATCTTTTTGAGCACCCTAGTCTCACCCCAAAAGTACATGTTATAACATTCCCAACTTGTCGACTTTCGACGAAACTTATTTTCTTCAATTGGTTTACTTCTAAGCCTTCAAACCCTCTTGATACTTGCAGTCCATGATCTTAAATCTTTGTAACCTCCAAGTTAATATGATTAACTTACTTTATGTACTTTCAAAGATGATCTCATTTTAGAGCTTACATAAATTGAATTACGACGTACTCTCACATACGAAACTATGGGGTGTAACATTTATCTTCACAAATTTCCAGAGTCCTGGCACGTGGGCCCGGGGGAAAATTTTAGGAATTCTTCAATTGGGGTGGGTAATCACTCTATAGTTAGAATATGAACTTTTTAACATATATTGATTATTTTATATAACATTTGACTAGTTTCGAGTCGTTTGGCACCGAGTTGAGGGTCTAAAACACAATTGTGGACCGGAAAGTGACCTCGTCATAATTTGTTGATGATAATACTTGGAGTCCAATTATACTTGATATTGTTCATTGGCTTGAGAGGTTAAATTGTTAAATGATGAAAATTTTAATTGGGATTTACAATTAGTGAACGAATCGCTTATTTATTTCTCGTTATTGAATTTTCAACTTCATTTATGTAGCCCATGTTTATTTATAAATCTCGGTATTTTATTGTTAGCCCATAGTAAGTGTCGAAGTCGATCCCTCGTCACTACTTCTTCAAGGTTAGACTAGATACTTACTGTGTACATGTTGTTTATATACTCACGCTACACTTCTGCACAAACCGTGCAGGATCTGAGGCAGGTGCATCTGGATATCATCCCGGCGCGCATCCTTGATTCTATGAGACTTTGCAGTGAGCTGCCATCCAAGCCCGTTTTGCAGCACCCAAAGTCTTTCTATTGATTTTATTTTCTATCTATTTCACTTGAGACAGTAGTGTAGTATTCTTTTGTATATTCCACTAGTAGGTCATACACTTGTGACACCAGGTCTTGGAGATTTATGCTAGTAGAAACTTATTGATTTTTGAGTAGAGGAGACCGCGTTCGCGAAGGGTCTGGCAAGTGAAGCTACACGTTCGTGTAGAGGATACTCGCGTTCGCGAAAGAGGATTGAATTTTTGTTCTACGCAAATTCTAGAAGATGGCCGCGTTCGCGAAGAAGGGTTTTGAGTTCATATCACAAAACTTGATAGAGAGCTCGGTAGAAGGCAAAATTTGGAGATATTTTCAGAGGAAGTGATTGGGTAATGCTTCATATCTCCTTAATGATTATATCCCACTAACCTAAGCTTGATTTCATAATTTAATTTCAGATTTGGGGTGAAAAATTGGGAAAATTTGAGAAAATTTCTTAGGCCAAATTTTGGGGTTTTGATCGAGATTTTTGTATCGGATTTGAGTAAATTTGGTATGATTAGACTCGTTAGTGAATGAATGTTCATAATTTGTGATTTTTACCCGATTCCGAGACGTGCTCTCGGGGAGGCTTTTTTCGGCGTTTTTCTATTTTATTGCCTTAGCTTTGATTTCATTAGCTAGATTAGTTTCTTGTAGCTTTATTTGCTTTATGTAATTGATTTGGCTAGATTTGGGCCATCCGGAGCCGGATATTCGTGGAAAGAGCATTGTAATGGATTGATTTGAGCTTGGTTCAAGGTAAGTGGCTTGCCTAACCTTGTGTGGGGGAACTCCCCTTAGGATTTGGTATTATTTTTATATGTGAGCGTCCTGTACGTGAGGTGACGAGTACATACATGGGTTATTTGTTGTAAAATCCCATTTGTCACTAAGTCATAACTTGTTTTCTTCTTATTTGAACTGCACTAGCATATGTAACTATCCTGCTTAGTTAGAATAACATGCCTATGTGTTTTAACAGCCTATTTGAACTCTGTGCAGCATGTTTAGTGAAATTACCTACTTTCTTTGACTTGAACTTAGTCTAAACCGTAGGTTTTCATGCCATAACTGTTATTTCTATCGGTTGTACTGAATATTTACGTTGGGACTATGGAACGGTATTTCGGGTGATCCTCCTGTACTGCATATTTACTTTGGGACTACGGAACGGTATTCCGGGAGATCCTCCTGTTCTGCATATTTACATTGGGAATACATAACAGTATTCCGGGAGATCCCCCTGTACATTTACGTTTGGGACTACGTGATGGTATCTCGGGAGATCCCCCGTTGTTATCACTGTGTTATGAACTGTCTTATTTCAATTATTCTATCTCTGTTG